TCAGGAGGCCCCACTGCTGCAGGGGGCACAGGATGTGCCAGGCCCCGAGCCCAGGCCGGCCACAGGGCTCGAGGAGACCACAGGACACGCCCAGGGCTCGGCAGGGCAGCTGGCCTCAGCGCCACCCTGGCTGCCCCGAGTGTGATCTGCTGTCGCTCTGCTCAGCTGGTGGGTTCAGCTCCCCGTGAAATCCCCCCGCAGACCAGGCTCTCCATGCCGGCCTTCTGGGGCTCCGAGGCTGCCCTCTGTACCCCGGGGCAGCCTTATCTCTGGTAACTCGGTTGACAGTGGGGACGGCTCAGGACCAGACCTGCGAGCGCCTGTCCCTGCTCCTGTCCCCATGCACAGCGCCCTCCCTTTGGGGACATCTCCCTTCCTTGAAGGAAACAGGTGACTTTGTCGCAATGGCTGCAGGGAACACAGCCAGCTCTGCCCTTCCTCCCTGAGCTGAGCCCTTCTATGGTAGGAAAGGAAATGTATGGCTGCTCATTTTAAGGGATTAGGGCCGCCAATGGCTGCTTTCCATAGTGAGAGCACATAAAAGGTTCTGAAGGGTAGACGGGGTAACAGGACTGTACAGGGAAGCAGCTCTGTTTTACTAGGTGCCATTTGGTGTGAGGTGATGCCTTTCTGCAAGGACATGGGAGTTCGTGGGCCTGGGCTCACCTACAGCAGGGCGGGCCGGCTCTGTGGCTCCACAGTCCATCCCCACACACAGGTGTGCACAGGCAGACACGCGTGCATGCACATATGAACACAGAAAAGCACAAATACACGTGCCGAGACACACAGGTGCACACACATGCAGACACGTGCAGATGCACGTACACGAGTCTGTGAGCACACGTACACACCTGGCCACACAACCAGCCACACGTGCACACCCACAGCCCCACCTCCCTGCACTGAGGGGACTGTGGCGGGCAGGACGAGGGGTCTGGCTGGGGTGCATTTCCAGGGCCATGGTTCCCCCAGGGACGGGGCACCTCTCAGCTCCCAGCAGACATCAGGCTGGCAGGGGACCTGCTTGGCCTCGGGGTGCCTGAGGCCAGCATGGCTGTCCTTCTCTGTCATTCCCTCTTTGCTGTGATAGAGCACTCACAATGCTTTGCTGATTACTTAATGAGCTGAAATTGACATAAACATAAAATTAATTGGTTAAAGCGCACAACTCAGTGGTGTTCAGGATGCTCGGGTGGTGAAACCACTGCCTCTGTCTCCTTTCGACCAGTGTGCAACCTCAAAAGAGAACAGAGTAGCCATTAAGCAAGCACTGTCCATCAGCCTCACCTGCCCCAGAGTCACCTTCTGCCTCCTACTGATATGGATTCAGTCTTCTAGACGCTTCCTGCAAGTGGAAGCAGGCAAGATGCAGCCTCATGGTCTCCAGAGCCGTCCACACTGCAGGCCATGTTGGGCTTCCTTCCTTCTCTTGGCTGTGTAATACTCTGCCGTGTGGGCATGTGTGCTCACTGGTCCATTCTTCCACTGGTGGGCGTTTGGACTGCTTCCTTTTCACTCTAGTGGGAATGATGCTGTAAACACTGATATACAGGCATCTGTCTGAGCCCCTCACTTTCCATTTCCTGGAGTATAAAGCTAGATGTGGAATTGCTGGGCTCGAGTGTAATTTTGTGACTTTTTGAAGGACTGGCAAAATGCTTTGGTCTCCTTTCATCTGAAAGTTTTTAGAATTATGTGGAACACAAATCGAGAAAGCAGAAAATATGAAGGAATTAGTAATGTGCTATCAAATTATAACTGACATGTTACTACATCACACACAAGCCATGGATTATTACGTGAGTGCCTGGGAAGTCGCCCGTGTGCACCGTCTCCACCTGCCCCGAGACTGTCACGGCTGCTCCAAGATGATGCCTTCACGCACACGGTTGTGCAGAGGCATTTGCACCTCATGGCGAAGCGTGGCTTTTCTGAGGCAAACTGGCTGCCCTGTGACAGCAGTTTGGATCATTTCGGGTCCTTGTTTCCTTGGGTGTGCTTGGAGAGAGCAGAGAGGAGCTGGCCATGCTCTGAAGTGGAACTCTGAAACGGGCCACGACACGCGTCCTATCACATCCAATGCCTCTCCTAAGGCAATGACGCCTTAATGCAATAATGGGACGCCTTTGCTGGTCAGCTCATGAAATCTAAGCAAAACTTTGGAAGCTTTTCCAGGTGCAGACCGAATCCCTCTCATCATTGTGAATGCCAGTATATATTTGGTCACAAATTCGGCGCTGAAGATACAGTAACTCTTTGCTTTTGTAGTAGCAGTGTGCATGTGCGTGTTAGTCCAGTACCAAGGCGTGGCTGGAAGCAGCAGGTCGTGGATGCGAGAAGCTTTACGGAGCAGAATTCGCTCAGTTTGACTGTGGAGCAGGCGCAGCTCAAAGTCATGTCCAGCACAGTCCAGCGAGGCGAATTGCGTGGAGGGGTGGGCCCAGTGCCCCCGCCTGCCCCGGCCTGCATGAGGCCCTGCCCTGGCGCGCGGGCAGGATGGATGCCTCCGGCGGTCAGCCCGCTCACCTGCTCACGGACAGAACGCGGCGCGCGGGAGGAGCGTCCTTGCGACATGGGGCAGAAAGTCTGGTCCCTGCGGCCCCTTTCCTCTCATCCTCCAGCCTGGTCCAGCCGCTGGCTCCAGGGAAAGCCAGCTGCCGAGCTGCGTGTACAGCTGCGTGGGATGGTCAGCCAATGAGGGGCTGCACCAGACTGCCCCAGGGCCAGAAAGCTAAGCACACGGTCATAGTTTCATTTTGTTTTGAGACGGGATCTCACTAAGCTGCCCAGCTGGGCTCACCCTGTGACCCTCCTGCCTAGGGGACCCACTGCCCTCCCCGCCTGCTCCGGCCCTCACCGTGCCATCGTGCTGGGTCCCCTGCCGCTGGGAAGCAGCGTGCTCAGAAAAGGCAGGGCTTGGTTTCAGGTTGGAGCCAGGCCCCACAGCACGGGCAGCACAGCACGGGGACCCAGTCTTGGCACCTGGCTGGCCTCCCCGGGCAGCATCGCTCGCCCTGGGCACCGGGCAGCCTGGAGGCAGCTGGCACCAGTCTCCCGTACTACTGTCCATCTCTTATTGGTTCTCCAATGACTCCTTTATTCTTCGCTTTTCAGGTATTTAACTCATCACTTCTCACATGCAACTTCCTTTAAAAGACCCTATTCTTGAAAGAAAAGCGTTAGAAGAACATTTTAACATATCCAGTAAAGTGACTTAGTCCTACTTGAAAATGCCCATAAAACACTCGGTCCGTCTTGGTAACGGCGAGTCCTTCTGGGGTACACGGCCATTTCCGTGAGTACAGCTCACTCTAACGTGCTGCGGCCTCCGAGTGGTGGAACACTGGCGATGCTGGAGACCATCCAGGTGCTGGACGTGGAGCTGGCAGAGGTCAGGCAGGGCTTGGGCAGGCCCAGGGGGCTGCTGGCATGCCTGGGCCCCCACGTGACCCCTGAGAAAGAGCCCCGGCGCCCTGGTGGGGAGTGGCAGTGGGACTCCCGGCAGGCTAAGAGCAGGGCCCAGGAGCGCAGCCTGCTCTTCATCCCGACCACACCCGACGGCCTGTTTGAAACCAGGAGAATCACGCGTGCCCGCCGAGGTGCCACGTGCGCCAAACTTGAGCAGCGCCTCTGGGACTGGTAAGGCTTGCTTCTGTGTGTGGGGGGCAAGGAGGCATGGCCCTGGCCCTGCACATGGTCCCTGGCCCAGCTCTGGGCTGACACTGTTCTGCTCCGGCCATCGTGAACGAGGCAGCTTCAGTCCCCCACGCCCTTCCGCCACGATGCCCCTGCCTTGCAGCAGCCCCTGAAACCCTGCTGTAAACTGTGGGTGCTGGGCTGTGTCCCGACAGTGGAAACGCCCTCTCTGCTGCTGTCGTGACACTGTGGGCAAACACAGCCGCGCACCACACACCTCCCACAGAGGCCAGCGAGCTGTCATACAGGCTCTTATCAGGCCTGGCCACCCACACAGGCTCGGGACAGAGCATCTGGAACTCCTCCCAAGCAGCACGCTGGTTTTCTGTCTTGAATCACTCCTTTAGTGCTGGGTACACCTGGCCATGCAGTCTTCCTTCCACCAGAAATGGGAAAGGCTGGCCTGGCACTAGCAACCAGCACAAACTGGGACTGCACGCCCCGGCTATGAATGGGGTGCCCACACCCCCACTGGGTCTGATGCACACTGGCCGGGCAGCTTCTGCTTGCCCTGCATTGCAAAGAAGGCTGCAGAGGGGCTGGGGCAGACCCCAGAGGAAGAGACGGCAGGACAGGCCGGGGCCAGGGGTGGGGCAGGGCAGGGCATCTGGGCCCCGGGTGCCTCCAGGAGCCCACCCCTCTCCGGGCCCTACGGGGATGGCGGGAGGTTCTCCTCCACCTTCAGCTGCTTCCCTCCCTCCTCTCCGGGCAACCAGGAGCCCAGAGGCAGCCTCAGGAGGGGAGACCAACGGCTGCAGGAAGGGGGTCTGGGCACCGTACAGGGAGCAGCTCCTCAGGGTGCCACAGCCGCCACCTGCTCCCTCGCCAGGCTCTCAGCAAACTCTCGGGGAGAACGCCCATGCCGCTGGTGCCCCTGGCCACTCAGATGGGCTGCCGGGCCAGGAGGGGCGCCCGCTGACGAGCATGAAGCCCTCACACCGTGAGCCCAGTGCTGGCCACAGGGGCAGTGATGCCTGCACACACAGCTCGCAGCCCGGAGTGACCGCCCTCCCTAGCAGTGCTTCCACCCTTGGAAGTGGACTCAACCTCTTGGTGGCACCAGAGCGCCACCCGCATTTGTCCCACTGGCCGAGGGTCCTGGGACATCTCTGCAGCTCTTGGGGGACAACGCCTCGTCTCCCGCAAGTGTGCAGAGTGGCACAGGGCAGCTTCAGAACCTGCCGAGAGCCCGGGGCGGTGCCAGGGGCGGGCCCTGCACCCCATGTCCCCCACCCAGCCTGCTACCTGGGACGAGAGTCAAGGCTGAGCCGAGGACAGATGCAGACAAGTCATGCAGGGGCCACGTTCTGAGATGTTTTTATAATAAAGTACACCAAAAATACAGCAACAAACAGAAGAGTCTGGTCACAAGCTGCGAACCCGACAGTCAGTAAGAACGCCAGCGGCAGGCAGCACGCTCACAGGCAACACCTTCACCCTCCCCACGACGCAGGCCGTTCACAGGCGGCCCGGCCTCGCTGCCGCCCTCAGAACTGCAGACAGGACTGATGAGGCTTGGCCTGGACGCCCAGGGCTGCTGTGGCCCGACCGAGGACACGCGTCCCAGTGATCAGCGATGCAGCTCCCACTCGGACGAGAAGCCATTCAAAGTTTCAGAAATAAGCAGGAGACTAGCTGCACTACTGAGCCGCAAAAACCCCGCAGCAGCAAGATGTGTGGCCTCTGCAGGATCCGTGAACGAGACCCTCCCGGGACTGCAGGGCACGGAATCTCGCCACGCTCTGGCCTCGGAGGCGCCCCTCCGCACAGGCCTGCACCGCTGATGTCCCAGGGGCGGCGGCAGGACGTCCACAGCCGCCTGTGGCTTCTGTGAGGAGGACACGCGGCGACAGGGTTGGCAGAGGCGAGGCGGACGGCCGAAGCGGAAGATCAGAGCCCGGGGGCTGCGGGAGGCCGCGTGCGGAGGCCCCAAAGGCGCTCGCGCTCGCTCACCACCTGCCGTGGGCGGGACAGCAGGGGAGCCAAATTCACATTCGTGCCGCGGGCAGCCGTCAGGCCCTGGCGCTGGGGGGCGCTCCGTCCCCTCGCACCCGCGGCCGGTCGTATCGAACAGAGACGATGAGGAAGAGCAGGAGGGTGGCTCCTTGGATGGCGGCCAGCAGGAAGAAGTAGTAGTTGAGGTGGCAGCCGTTGATGTTACCTGCGGAGCAGGGCAGAGAGGTGAGGCCGCGCGCTCCCTGCCGCTCCCAGGAGACCAGACCGGGGCGTCACTGCTCCAGAGGCAGGGCAGGGGGTGCCGACCCCAGCCCCCGGGGGAAGGCGGGGTGCGCGCTGCCTCCCACAGCAGCGGAGGGCTCCGGAGGAGCGCCTGGGCTGGAGCAGGGGCCTGGGCGCACCGGCAGGGGAAGCCAGCTATCGGCCCAGGCGCGGAGCGCACGGCGAGGGTTACAGAGCTGGGCTGTGCCGTGGCCAGCAGAGCACATGAGTGGCTGGCCGGCGGGCCGGGACAGCCCTGAGTGGGGGCCAGAAGGGCTGGCGGTGGCTGGAGGATGATGGGGCTGAGGAGGAGCGCCCGGCCCTCTCCTCCCCTCCCCGCCCCCACCAGGCCGCGCCCACCCCAGGTCCCGCCCACAGCTGCCACACAAACCGCATGCGGAGCGCCCGAGTTTGCGCCCTCAGCTTTCCCAACACACCGGCCTGGCACGCTCACGGACACACCTGTGAGCCCCATTCCCGCACACACCACCACCACACCCAACACGCGGTGCTGCTCCCAGTCAGGCCAGAGCGGAGCAGAGCCGAGGTCCAGCCACGGAGCACCGAGCCCCACAGCTTCCGGCGCAGAAGCCCGGGGTCTCCCACTGGGGGTCCGGCAGGGTCCGGGGCAGGGTGCAGGGGCAGCTCCATCGCCACGTACCTGGCTGCGCCCCTCCGCACAGCCCCGGCCTCGACCCTGCACCAGCGTGTTCTCCACTGGGAAGCTGCAGGGCCCGCTGACACCAGCACTGGGCGTGAGCAGGCAGGGGACACGCTGCACCCGTCCCAGGAGCAGCAGGCACGGGGCGTCCATCACACCCGGTGCCCACAGAGGGGAAGGGGCGCAGGGAGGTGTGCAGTGCAGAGAAGGCAGCTCTGGGACCCCTGAGCTCTCCTTAGGGTCTGCAGTGGGAAGGACACCCAGCCCCCAAGGGTCCCGACTGCGCGCATAGCCTGTGTGCTCAGTCCAGGTCGAAGCGCAGAGTCGTCCCCCGTGGGGATGCCCACCTTTGCCGGGCCCTCTGTCTACATTTGGCTACTCTGAAGCCCTCTTCCTCTTCCGGAGCAGATGGCAGACGGTTAACAGCCTGTTCACTACCCCAGCACACCATGAACAGCTTACACAACGGCACTGGCTGCTCGTGTGAAAGAACCCCGATTCACGGGGGTGGCAGAAGGCCCAGGCTCCACCGGGACCCGGGACCCTCGGTGGAAGACACAGAGTTCCCCTCTGGTGCCCACCCTCGGCGCATGTCACTGCGAAGGGCTGAGCTCGCCGTGGTGGGGACGCCAGTTCCCAGGACCCTTCAGGGGCACCACAGGCCATGCTCAGAGGAGCAAGCACACCACAGCGAGTGCCAGCCCCGGACAAGCAGGGAGAAGCTGTGTGCACCATGCGAGTGGTGAGCAGGGCGAGCCTGGGGCCCGTAGGGAGCTCAGCATGCGCCTGCCACTCAGAGGCACTCTGAGCGTGCCAGGCTTTCTGGGCCTCTCCAGACGGGTAACTGCACATGAAGCCAGCACAGGGGGCTGTGTCTGTTTCTCAAGAGACTGCGGCCGAGCACCAAGCGCGTGTCCACTTACACACACGCACGGGATACCAGTGCAGTGTCACTCCTAACAGCAAGCAGCCGGTCAGCACCACCCGGCCGCCTGCCCCTCTGGGCTGTGGCGTGCACAGGCTGCAACGCGGCTCAGTGAAGAGCGCGCTGTGGGGAGGCCTCCCTGATGCCAGCAGGTGTGCAGGAGAGGCCAGGCTTGGGGTGGGCCAGGACAGCCTGACCCTGCTGGGGAGGGCGGCACAGACAGGCATGGGAGGGCTTGGCAGCACCCAGCTTGGCGCTGGATAGCAGCACATCAGGCTGCACGTTTACGATCAGGGTACTGATGGCAGGAGCGTGGCTCCCAGTTTCAGTACGGCCACAAACAGAGCCTGCAGGCAGGAAAGGTGAATAGCACAACAGTAATCTGGGGCTTCTTCCCTAGGACCTCAGTCTAGCTACACAATGACTTCCGGTCACCCTGCTGCACCGACAGCCTCCCCTACAGGAGCACTGGTGGCAGCGGTGGGAGCGCCGGGGGAGCCTAGGCCATGTAGAGGCTGGCGTGAAGCCACTGCCCCTTCTACAGCAGCCAAAAGCCCTTCCTGCTCTCCCAGGCCACACGCGGGCCTGCTCACACACGCACGCACGCACGCACACACACTCCTGCAGGCGGGTCCTGCTCTGAAAACTGACAGCAGGCAAAAGCGGCCGAATGGAGGCCTACAGGCCGGCAGGATAGGGAGGAGACGAAGTCGCTAAGAGCAAGGAGACCGGCTCACTGGGCCACTCCCCACAGCTCCTGTGACCATGGAACAGAAACCAGGGCAGAACCTGCATCCTGAGAGCCGGGACCAGGAGCCGCAGCCCCGTCCAGAGCTGCCCACCTCGCACAGGGCCGCGGCCACCGTGGCCCGGATCCGAGCGCTCTTCTCGCCAGCCCCAGCCCTGCACCTGCAGGAGATGCGAGCGCTGTGGCAGAGCTGGGCCCGTGTCCAGGGACAGCAGTGGCTGGGCTTCTGTGTGTGGCCACAGCAGGAAGCCACAGGCCTTCTCACCCGGGGACAGGACCTGTGACTCAATCGGGAGGGGCCCTGTGCGGTCTGCAATTTCTGGAGAAAAGCCCCTATACCCAGTCAGATTTTGCTACAAGTAGCTAAGTACTACCAGCCAGTCCTAAACCCGACAAAGTAACAGGGCTGGTCTCACGGATCACACGCCAAGGAAAGGAAGGAAAAGAAGGGCATCTTCATGCACGGGTCCATTAAAACGCTACCATCAAGCCAGGCACTAGGAAGGCTGAGGCAGGAGGAAATTAAGGCCAGCTAGGGCTACACAGTGAGTTCAGGGCCAGCCTGAACCTCAGAGCAAGACCCTGTCTCAAAAAAAAGCCCCCATCAGTCTGGAAAAAGCAAAACTCCAATGTTTTGCATAATTCTGTTCAGCGCCCCAGATGCCATCTACTGGCATTAAGTATGATCAGGAATAATACGCTTATTAAAAAACAAGTCAATTTTATCCGTTCTTTTAATACTGGGACGCTGTACTGCCAGGAAACAAACACATAAAATCAAGCGGGTCAGGAACGGCACTGACAGGGCAGCCCCGCAGGACTGAGTGACTGGAGACAGGGAGCAGGTGGCAGTGCCTGCCCGCCTGCTCACCCACCCCACAGCCACGAGTGCCACCTCAGGTGGGAGGACTGGCCTTACCGAAGTCCGTGTGGCTGCTCATCCATCCGATGGCTCTGAGAGACACCAGTGCCAGCAGCCCCGAGCCCACGAAGGAGCCGACTCCGGAGGAGAAGAAGAACAGCCCCATGATGGCGCTCTGCATGGCCTTGGGGGCAGCCGAGTACGCGAACTCCAGACCTGGGGAGGAGGAGGGGCTGGGTTGCAGGCACAGTGCTCTCGGGGTTCACCCCACCCAGGAGGCCTGCGCCTCAGACCCCAGCAGCGCCTGCCACCAACGGGCTCTGAGGGCTGCTCCTCTGGAGTCTGTTAGGGAAACAAACTTCTCCTCTCTTCACAAGGAGTGGGATTTTGAAAATCACACACACTGAAGTGGGAGATCCACTTAAGAGTTCTAGTTCGAAACAATTTCAGCAGGTTCACCAATAAACTCGGCTTCTTAGGGTAACTGGACACGGACGGACACGGACGAGAACCCTAACGAGGGCCCATCCTGCTGTGATGGACTCCCGCGAACCACCAGCTCCAGGCGAGCCTCTGGGGTGAGGCCCAGGCTCCGTGCCTCACTTCCTGTCCCTGCTCACCCCAGCAGCGGCGGCAGGCCTGCCCTGACACGCCTGTCCACACCACACGCTGCAGAGCCTCCTGCAGCAAGAGGGGCCTGCGACAACACGCTCTGTGATCACACGTGCTTCCCATCAGTCTCTGCTAAGGGCAGGAAGCTGTGGGCTGTGACAGGGCCTGGGCTCTGCCGGGCCAGCCAGGAGCCTCGCCAGGAAGCCAGGCCGGGCAGCGCCCTCCCCGCAGCAGCTTGCTTTCTTCCCTTGGCACCCATAAGGCGGCTAATGATTCTCATGGAAATGTTTTGGGGAATACTATTTTTATATCAAAAGAGCCCTCCAGCCACTGGACTAGTATGTACTTAGCAAGCCATATTCGAAACCGCAATTCCCTACCCCAAAGCGCACGAGAGCAGCACCTCTGACCCAAGCTCCAACCGCTGTCCGAGCGGGCAGCTCACCTGCGATGCTGGCGAACACTTCGCTGATGCCGATGAGCACGTACTGCGGGACCTGCCACCAGATGGGCAGGTCCGCGGCGTGGTAGACCACATGGCCAATGGTCTGGTTGATGGGTTTATCTTTAACAATGTCCAGCCTTTTGCTTTCCAGGATTCCTAGGATTCATAAGGGATCAGGACAGAATTTATTAACATTTCCAACTCAACTAGAGAACAAGGAGCTGGCTCTTAGGTATTCACTGGTGACTCAGACAGCGACAGGGTGGTGGCCCAGGACAGGGAGAGGGTCTGCAGCCATCTGAAACACGCCTGGCCCATTTCTGTGGGTGCTCTTTACAGCAGCCCACAGAACACACACTGCATCCACTTTTACTTTCTGGACGGGCGTCCTTCATGGCTTTCACAAAGGCAAGAAAGGACGCCAGCTGGCATGGAAACACCCGCCTGCAATCCCGGCCCGACCTCGGGGGTAGGAGGCCACCTGGGCCAGGACAGCGAGACCCCACTGTAAAATTCTCAAAAAGCTAATAGGGAATTCTTAGAAAAAAACAAACCCAGGCATGGTGGTGATACCTGCAATCCTAGCATGCAGCAGGCTGAGGCAGGAGGATCCCGTAAGTCTGAGGCCAGCCTGGGCTGCATAGTGAGTTCAAGGCCAGCCTGGACTACATAGCAAGATCCTGTCTCAGACACAGAATGAGTGTAGCTTAAGAGGGCAATGGAACAGATATATTTAAAATGTTCACGAGATGGGGGGCGGTTTAAAAAGAATTAAGGTGTGTAAGTACATGGACCGCCTCCCAACAGGGAATGGAATCAGCATGTGCTGTTAGCACACACTAGTAAGAAACGTAAAACTTTCCTTCTGCACTACACTCACTCATAGAAAATGTTCCTTTTAAAGCCAAGCATGAAAAGGAGCACAGTATGACAACACAGAGACAAGAAGATCAACTCTGGAACCTGTGCCCCGAAAGACACCTTCGCTGGACGCAGGAAGGAAGACAACCTCAGGGAGCCCTGGAGGGCGCCCAACTGCCCACAGCCTGCTCTGCCACACAGCGCCACAGGCCCCACGGAGCCGGTGCAGCGGGCACGACCCGAACCCGAACCCTGGACACAGACATAGGCAGGCACAAGCAGGCGTGTGCGTGCGCGCGCGCGCGCACACACACACACTCTCCACACAGAGGCGCAGGCGCAGACTGCTGTGCACCAGCAAACTGTCCTGGGCTCTCGGCTGCTCTGGAGAGGCCCTGGGGTCTGTGGGGACGTCACAGGGACAGTCTTCTCTGGCGCTGTGCAGACAACAGCCCTCCCACCCACCTGCCCTGGGCGACCTGTAGAAGCCGCTGCCTCCTCTCGGTGCTGGCGAACTCCAGCCTGAGAGGAAGAACACTGCCGGTTTGGGAATAAACACGGAAGCTGGATAAAATCCTCCTGCTTCCCAGGAAGAAAGACAAAGTTAAGGAGAAAACAAAGTGGGTGGGGGCAGAGGCTACAGGTGGGGATGATCAACAGGCACTGCGCAGGAGACGACAGGAAGTGGGGACAGCGCCTGCTCACGTCTCACCAGGACGCTGTGAAGACGGCGGGAGGAGCAGCTAACAGGAACAGGAGGTGTTGGCTGAGGAGATGCTCCAGTGGCCAAGACTAAGAGAAGAGAGAAAGAATGGGAGTGACCCTGGAGGGGCTGATGGCGGAACAGTCAGGAGGGAGCACAGCCCCAGAGGCTGCGACGTCCACAGCGGAAAGGGCCCCTTCTCAGACCGACTGAGGGCTCCTAGGGAGCAGGGGGCCAAGGGGCAGCAGGGATCGGACTCAGGGACTGAGAAATGCCGAGGAGGCCCAGGTGCTGGACCACCCACCAGCTCTGGACGCCAACAGCTGGGCCCTCCCTGTAAAAGTTCCATACTCGCAGCAGTTCAGACCCCAAACCAACAGACCACATGTGCAGGAGAAGGAAACCCAAACCAAACACAACCCTCAGGCGGTGGAGGCCAGGCCACTGTGAGGCAGATAAGCACAGAATCGGAGACAGGAAGAAGCCACAACCAGAATTCTGAGGAAAGAAGAATGAAGAAGGACACGCTGAAAACAAAGACGGGGAGAGGGCTCCCACAGCTGGGTCGGGACTTTCCCGCCAGTGCTGCCACCAAGGCCACGCTGCACGGTTCAGAGAAGCCAAGCGACACACGCCGAGGCAGCCCAGCTCATCCTCCTCCAGACCACCAGGCGACAAAGGTACAAACCAGCACAAGGGCCACAGACCAGAGACCCGAGGTGCAGACCCAGGCCCAGGCTGAGAAGGGACAAGGAACTCCTGAGGCAGCTGCGTGCAGAGGGCTCAGAACCGGACAGACAGCAGGAGCCCTGTCTTCGGGAGCCTCACCCGGAGGCTGGTGCTTGGGCGTGCTCGGACCTCAGGCCCGCTGCCAACACGAGTTCAGAACCCTGCTCTGAAAGACCCGAGCGGGCTCAGGGGCAGCCCCGGGCTGGAGGCCGGGCTGGGTCCCAGGGCTGGGTCGGGAGCCTGAGGGACACAGCTGGGAGGATTGAAATGGATGACCGCTTCTACTCTGCAACCTACAAACTCTCTAGAAGTAAAGGAAGCCTCAAACTACTGAGGTGGTGAAAATGCCACCACAGCTTCCAACCCTCCAACAGGACGAGCCATCAGTAACGGAAGCACAAATGTCTGCAGCAGAAAACTGAAATCCTGGTATTAATTCAGATCAAAAAGGAACTCGGAATGAAACCTCAGTTTTCATAGAAAACAACACAGGAACACAGTAACAAATAACAGGCCCTACCCAGCCAAACAGTAGCAACTCCCAAAACTTTAGCACCAAGTATCTTTTTACTGTTAAACAGGAAAGAATAAATGGAAGAGAACAAAGAACTTCATTCAATAGTGAGAAGGAAAACCATGAAATAAGTGCAAGGTGATAAGAAGGAAACAGCTTTACAAGGATACAAAATTTCAGTGCCTTAGAAAAGAAAACACAGTGACAGCCAAATGGAATTCAAGAGATACCTCTATAGAAACAATGTAAAACATATACAAGGCTAATAATGAAGTGTAACTATATGAATCTACTTCAAAGATCCATTCACAAATGGATTTGCTTCAAAGATCTTTTATCTTTATTATGTTCACTCTAATACACTCTCTGGGGCTGGGGATTTAGCTCAGTGGTTCCGCTGCCTGCTTCACTAGTGCAAGATACCAAGTTCAATCCCCAGTACCAAAAAAATAAATAAATAAAATCTAATACACTTTCTGAAGATGCAAGAAAAATGATTTAAGACTTTAAAAAAAAATAACTTAAGTGACTCAGGAGAAAACAAAATCTGCACAGAATGAGACAACAGATGCAAATGCACCCCGCAGTGCGCTTCCCAGGGAGCTGAGACACTCTGGGGCTCCCTGTCCTCCAGGCACTGAGCCAGGGAAACGCGGCTCAGGCACAGGCTGGCCCGTGCTGAGCCCTCTGTAACAGACATTGGGCAGTTAAGGTGACAAACAGCACACGTACAAACAGGGGTGGAGGGAAAGCACCCTGAGAAAACCAACATTCCTTTCCTCTCAAGCCCCCAGGAAAAGTGAAAGGTGAGCCAGGCATTTCATGTCACAGTCTCCACTGCACACCGGCTGGGCGGCCACCCACATGGAAGGGAGCTCTAGAAATCTGAGCCAAAACTGTCAGAGAAAAGAGTTGCAGTTACCATAAAGACAGGAAAAAACCTACATTTGAAGACGAAGAGGAACCTTTTGCAAATAAATCACTAACCGCCATCGAATTTTGAAAAATAACCATGAGAGCAATTAAAACTACATAAAATACTTAAGAAACCTAACATAGATGAAGAAATCTAAGAAACTTTGCAAGCTACAAAAAATAAGAAGGAAATGAAAACACTTGGAAAAATCTCTTACAATATGAGATAAAACAATGCACAATTTTTAAGGGAAAAGAATTAAAGCTAACAAATTAACGCCGTTCTCTTTGCCTTAAATTGGGCTGGCAGAAGGCCCCTTGGCCTGCCTGGCCTACACCCAAGCCTTCTAGACAAAGAGCTGCTGGCCAGGCCCTGACGGCTCTCGTCTCCCCTCAAGCCCAGGACTGCTTCTCAGGAACACTGGGACTGGAGCGCAGCCACCGGGAACACCAGCAACCTGCAGGCCTGGGAGGCCGAGACAGCAGAATCACGAGTTCCAGTTCAGCCTGGGCTATATGGTGAGTTTTCAAAGCCCACCTAAACTACACAGTGAGACCTTGCCTCCAAAAGCAGAAACAAGCAGCTCTTCATGTTGAATTGAATTAATTGTGCTCTGGGCAACCCTCAGGTTATTTACACGCTTCCCAAGCACAGACGGTGAGCTGAGCTCCTTCCTAACATGTGGCCCCTGGCAAGGGAAGCCTGGACACACACCCTAGTCACACGGCTAGACTCCACCCACCCTCATCTCGCTATTCTAACAGCGGAAGTGATGGCCCGACTGGGAAAGCGACAGTCTCTCCTCTGTCCTTGATCCCCTACAGCTGTAGAGAAACTGTGCAAGGCGGGGAAGGGACCTCTCGGGGCTGCCACTGACAAACTGAAAAGGCAGCTGGCAAGGAAGAGCCACACCCAGAAGCCTCGCAGGGTACCTGTCCCAGGGAGGCGAGGGCAGCCTGGCATCTGCAGGCCCGGCGCGGCCGAGGGACACACCCTGCAGCACCAGCCCTCCCTCCAGAGTCGGCCTGCACTGACTCAGTTCCCATCTGCTCTTGCGCCAGTCTTCTCAAGTCTGCGCTTCTAGAACATCGATGTCAGAAGTCAGCCTAGTCAGCACTGTTCTGCACTCGCTCTCTAGGCAAGGGGCAACAGGGTCTGAGCACACAGCCCTCCGAGCCGCAGCACCCGACGCTGAGCTCATCATAACCGCAGACAGCGTGGAGCAGATTCTGGAGCAGCACTTCCAAATATTAAGGAAGGAACAATTCCGAAGCAAGCTGAAAAGGAAGTAGAATACTTCTGCTCCCCACTTTTGGTCATGAAGACTGAACCCAGGGCCTTCACACAGACCTACATCCCCAGCCCTTCTTGTATATTTTGAAACAGGGTCTCACTAAGCTACTCAGTTGCCCCAGGTGGGCTCAAATTCATGACCCTCCGGCCCCAGCTTCCCAAAGTACTATGATTACAGGCCTGCGCCACCATCCTCAGCTATGTCCACTTTAGCAGCAAAAGATAAATTAGTATTTCAGACAGAAAAATTATGAAAGCAGAAAGGAACTTCTCAAAAGGCTAGTTGCCCTCAGGGTTGCGTGGATACTCAGGAATCAGGCTCTGCCAGGCGGTGCTGGTCTGGGGAGGGGAAGCGCTGCCGAGAGCCAAACCACATCCAAATCACTCCAGCGATTCTGGCAGCCCGAGCTGACAGACCTTCCACGGAGAATCACAAGGAGCAATTCTCAGGCTCTGCACCGTCCACTCATAAATCCATCCACTGGGCACGCATCCTACAAAGCTATACCGGCAGCAGAGAACAAGCCGCGTTCATTCACTCCAAGGTTTCGGATCCAAAAGAACAAGGACAATGGGTCCTCGGGAAGAACGTGTCCACTCTGCAGGGAGAAACTAGAGGAGGAGGAAGAACCAGTGCTGCACTGGCCTTGCAGCACCCAGGATCCTGCCCGCCCAGGCCCCGGGGCAGCGGACTGAGGAAGGCTGCTCACCGGCGGCGAAGGCGGAGCACATCACGAAGAACATGCCCACAGCGATCCTCTTCAGGGAGGACGGCAGCAAGCCGTGCCTTCTCAGGACCGGGTCCACCAGCTTGTCCTTGAGTGGGATGAGCAGGAGGATGAGCACAGCGTCGAACATGGTGAGCCAGGCAGCGGGGAACTGCGGGGCAAGCACAGGGGCACGTTGAGGGCTCTGCAGCAAGGCGGCCGTCACTTGGCGCCAAATGCCCACCCGGAGAAATGCACCCAGAGCCTCGCACTCCCAACCCTGAGACTGGGAGAGACTTGTTTCCTCATGTGTGCGCACCTGTTTTCCTGTGCTTACAGGGGGAGGGGAGAGAAAACCTGGTGAACAGTCAACACAACCTGGTCAGTGCTGTAACCACGGGAGGGAAAAGGAAGACGCATCTCAGTAACTGCTCTGAGCTCGCACTAACTGCTGGCGCTCAGGCCTGGCTCGGGCACAAGGGACCCACTTGTTCCCAAAGCCCCGCAGTCCCGTTCCGCTCAGTGCCAGGGCTCTTACCGTGTGTGGGTTGGTTGTAATGCTCGAGATTTCCGGAATCTTCAAGTGAAGACTCTGCAGGACATACGTGGTCTGCATCTGGGCACAGAAAGCAGAGTCACTGCACGTGCGCCACCGTACTTCTCTGAGAGTGCAGCGCGGGACCCGCCCTGACTGACTGGTGAGCCTCGAGGGGACCAAGGTGGACAGTGGGCAAGGCAGTTAGTTATCTGGTTACCATGAACTTCTCCTGGAGATCAATGAACTACACCAGTTTGCCAAACGAGAAACTAAGGGAGAGGAGGGCCTGGGAAGCCAGCAGCACACCCACTCCTAGCTTCTGTTCAGAAAGGTTTTCAAAATATTTACTAGAAACAAAAACTCCGAAATCTTAGCTTCATGGGAAAACTCCGAGCCCCAGGTGCTGGGCTACCGGAACTGGGCAGCGCTTCTGGGGAGGACGAGGAAATGCGACCTGTACAGCACCACTCACTTGGAAATACACTGTCCAGTAAGGGATCAGAGCCAAGAACACGGGCACGATCTTGACCAGGGCTTTCACGTCTTCCACTTTGTCTTCTGTGAACGGCCCTCCATGAGACATCTTACATGAATCAAACAGACTTTGTTTAGAAGATTGCTGAAAGACTCCAAGGCCTTCACTTTGGGAAACAAAATGAAGGAATTAGTTTTCTTCCACCCCCAGCAATCAATCATCTGGTAACAAATTAAGTTTGGGGGTAGGAAACCAGCTCACTGAACTGAATCTGCCTGACTTCTTCTAGGACCGACTAACTAGAAACACCAAAGGCAGCTCCCAGAGAGTTCCGCCCAAGCACAGCAGGGCGGAGGATCTCTGGCCAGCGTGGCTGCGACTTCAGGGAGCAGGGAGACTCAGGCTGACGTGGGCCTCACTGTGCCACCACGAGCTGGCGCTGGCCACTGCTCACAGGCAGGCTCTGTGCTGGCCACTGTGCCAGTTTCATCTAAGGCTGTGCAAATGTGCAACCGCACTCAACTGGAATTTGGGGAAACTGCACTTGACTGTTTGGATTTCCAGTCAGCTACATAAGCACCAAGGCTGACAATCAATGGCAATGCACTAGGCATGGCCCTGCTGGCTCACCTCGAACGCAGCCTTAGGCACGGCGGGGCGGAAGGTGCCATGCTGGGAAAGCCATCCTTCCTCACATGAAGGGAGGGCCAAGGTGGCAAAGTAATGGGCAACCTGCAGTGGTCACGAAGCACTCACCGGTAACCCTGACCACAAGCCCGGGTACTGAAAGCCTTACTGGCCCATTCACCAAGGACAGTAGGAGAGGGGCAAGAAATGTGCCGCAGTCACAGCATTCCGAGGGGAGCCAGGACCCAAATCCAGGCTTCAGAGCAGCAGCCATGGCCACTGCAGGACACCCCGACCCTCACAGCTGTGGGTCATAGGCCAGACGACGTTGTGCCCCTGGCTCTTGTGCTGGCATCTGCTTCTCCATCTGAGCCTGACTCGTTCTTTGTAAGACGAGTCGGTCCCACGAAACAGCCCCTAAGACTCTTACGGAGGAACACCCCGGCATCCTCAGGGAAAAGAACGCACACTGTGCTCTCAAGCTGGACTGCCAGGAGACAGTGACTCACCAGGGAGTGAGGTGGCTGCTGATTCTGGCTCAGGGGAGATGACGGCTGTCGCCTTCCCAGTCTACAGACCCATGTCCTGTTTTAATAAGGGCCGCTATTTTAAATTAGTTTTACCTTCCAAAGCTGATTATTTTTAATCTGGACTTTGCGGGTGGGAGGATAAACAATGAGAATTTTTAGCCATATTTTGGTGAAGAAAACTAAAACCAACCCAACAAGTATTTACAGAGTACTTGTATGCTCACTGCTGCTCTAACTGAGTGGGGGATATTGGAACACAGTTTTAAAGGACCTGCTTCCTGTTCTTATGAGCTCAGAAAAAAAGGAACACTGAAAAGTCAAATTCTAAATTCCAAAGACATTATTCCTATTTTATTAGAAAACATTTCCTTCTTCAAGTTACTACTTTTCTTCTTTAAAAACAAATCTGAAGTCCTTACAAACCACACAGACAACGGTTGGTGATTTACTACATCCTGCTGTGTGCTTCCCTGAAAACATTTGAACGCCAGATAACAAATCCCTCTTGCACAAACTAATTGCTTAATTTTACTTCCTGTCATTAAATGTTGCGGGACCTGCTGAGTCAGTATGCCCTAAAACTCCTTCCTTAGCGCGCTACTCTGCAATGCAACATGAAGCCCAAGTCGCAGAGACCCCCTGAACACGACGGAGCGCACTGCTCCTCCCCTGCGCGGTGTCCACACCGCTCGAGGGGCTCTGCACAGGATGCTGCTCCCAGGGCAGAGCCCCAAGGATCTCAAGACTCCACTCACTTTGGGGCCTGTCCACTCCAGTAGAATGGAGTGACCAACGAACTGTCAATCCTCCTAAAACTAGCATGCTGTCAGCCTCAGAAGAGCTCAGCCCAGACAGGAAACTGAGGCTGGGGCAGATGAAGTACAGGGTGTCACACCTGGGGACTGGGGACAATGGACTTCCTGGAACCCGGAAGGCCTCTCTTCAGGCTCCCCCAGCTGCCCAGCCAGTCCTGGGCACCTGCAACAGCCTCACACCTGGTATCGGTCCTGTGAGACCAGCCGCCTGCCCTGCATAATAAAGGGCAGGAGGCGCAGCAGGGTCCTGAGCCTGCTGAGCTCACATAGACGTCTCAGAGGAGCGCACTGTGATGACCCTTTAGGCCATTAACTCTTCTGCAAGCAAGTTCCTTTTCCTTATTCTTGCCCAAGATGACTTCCAAAAACAAATCTACAGAGAAACCAGCTTCTAAATAACAGCAACTCTGAACCTTGCTTCCTGTGCTGCCTTCGAAGCAGCACAGTTTTCTTGCAGGAGTCTATGAGGCAGGACACAAACAAAGACCCCGAGGGGTCTCCCTTTCAGTGGGCATCAGATCCACAGAGTAAACGTCTAGGCTCAAACACTGCTTCCATCCAGTTAACACAGGTTCTGGCGAAATATCAGTGTCTGCTGCCAAGCTTGGAAACTTTAATTTTTAAAAAATGTCTTCATGTGACTCATGACTCAAAGTTTGGAATTATGGGTCTGACAGCCACAATAAGCCCCGAAATTGACCCCAGAAGGTCCACTGGGAGGCTAGTCTGTCAGAGTGCCCAGAGCGATCAGAGAGGCTTCATCCTTGGCAAAAGCAGCCAAGCCGAGGGAGCTACAGTCTTGAAGCTGCAGCTCAAACAGGCACAGGGGCACTGGACACAGCCACTGGGAATAAGATAAGCATGGGCAGGCACAGGGCGGTTGGTGTGCCACTCGGCCACTGAGCACGACAGCAACAGGGCACGCAGCCCAGAGCAGACGGGCAGCAGCAGTGGCCAGGTGAGTGGCTCCTGCTCAACGCCCACTGGGAGCCCGGGGCCAACCGAGGCCTCTGAGGGCAAAGGTGTACACAGGTCCCAAGATGCCCCGGGGTGGGCACTGGGCGCCTGGACTGCACGGTGGTGACACCCCTTGGGTGAGTGACAGCTGTACAGCTAGAAGAGATGGATTTCACTTCACGTAAGGGTATGTAAACCAGTAACAAAAGCTTCTGCAGCCTCCAGCACCTGGCAGGGCCACAAGTCACTGCAGGGCAGACTGTTGGGCCGTGGCGGGTTCCCAGGCCCAGGACTTTCTGCTCTAAAGCTCGAGTCCACGGGGTCTCAGCACTAACACTGGGTGAGTCCCACACAGTCAGAGGAGCCTGACTCAACTCACTGCACCCTGCAATTCTGCTCCCACAACCTGTGTCTAAAGGCAACTGCAGCAGCTCCTTGACACCGAGCCCCAATGCCCACAGACAGGCTGCGGCCTGCTTCTGAAATACAGGCACAAGCCCCTGCTTAGCTTCCACTATGTATTCAAGGCTCTTGGAAACACACACCAGTGTAAAGCATGCACTGTCTCCCCAAGCCCTCTGCAAGTGACCATCTGTACAATCTGCCTCTGAGCAGCCAGCAGCTCCCAGCTGCATGGCAGGGAGACGAAGCTGGGTGTGAAGGACAAGACCGAGCATTGTGTAGTCCGTGAGGGGCTGACTACACTGCCTCAGGGGGTCATGGTGAGCTCCCTTGGGCAGCCAGGGTCACAGGGGTTGGGATTTTAAGAACAGGGACTGGTGAGTCCCCCAAACAGTGTGTGGGGAGAGCAGAGCACTTACCCGCTGCTGAGGCGCGCTGCACGGCGCTTCTGGGCGCAGCATGAGTAGACGAGAATCCTGAACATATCAGTGAAGGCACTGCCGTCTGGGCGCTTGGTGATGAAAACACTCTGGCCACAGAGGAAAACCACGAAAGCAACAGCCACGCACACCGTGGGGATGAGGTAGCCCGAGAAGAAGCTCACGTTCTGCTGCACGTACGCAATGCCTCCTAATGAAAGGATGGCTCCCAAGTTAATGCTCCAGTAAAACCAGTTAAAAAATCTCCTAGTGGCCTCGGGACCTCGATCTTTGACCTAAAATAACAGGGAGGAAAAATACTTGAAAACTCATGATATCTTTCCTTTCTTTTTAATTTTCTGTTTTCCTCTTTTTGCTTTGAGACAGGGTCTCACTGTGAGGCTCAGGTGGCCTCAGCCTCCCGAGAAGCTGGACACCACCACCGCCTCCTGTAGCCGTCCTGAGTGAGAACACAGGGACACGCTACACACTCCGCTGCCAGCAGCTTGAGAAGCACAACTCGAGGAAATGGTATCTCCAGTACGCCAACAGGTTCTGGACCAAAAGCACCCTCCACCGGGTTATACAGGTGTGAGGGCCAACAGATCCCACAGGACTCAAAGCAAGCCTGCCGTGGCCACTCGGAATGAGTCACAGAACCCACACCCACGCCTCCTGTCATCCTCCCCAGGGCAGGCCAGGCGCCTGCATGTTAAACGGCCTGTGAAGCAACTTCCCCGCTTACTTCTACTCACTGCAAGTTTCAGAACATGTTTTTATAGCTTCATCCCTTCTGAGCTATACTTGGCAAGCAGGTTCAGCTTCAAAGCGAGCCTGGGCACACCTGTACCTACCGTATCTTGGCTCCTGAGACTCTGATAAGCCTGAATCAAATAAACAACTACTGAAACTAAACCCACAAGGTGTTTTTAGATTAGAAAGGTTATAGGGCCAGGGATTTGGCTCAGTGGTTCCGCCACCTGCCTGGCAAGTGCCAGGTCTCGAGTTTGATCCCTGGTACCAAAAAAAAAAGGTTATCAAAGGAATGAGAAAGAATTCTGATAGGAGCAGTGATTCCTGGGGGCTCAAAACTCACTAACTTCCTGGACTGAGGCAATCGCAGGAAGGGTCACGGGGCAGCTAACACCCAGAGGCCTACTTCCCCGAGCTGGGCACTGAGGGCTTTAGCTCCCTTCCCACGGAGCTTCGCCTCAATGGGCACTGCAAGAGTGGGTCCATCCCAGCCAGACATCTCTGCTGAGTTTCACTTCATGAAATTTGTTCTGACCAACTCACTAGCTAAAGGCTGACGAAGGATCTCATAAAAACTGTCTAGTTCTGCAGTCTTAGGAACTTCTACTGTCTGGCCTGACCTCACCGGGTAGGGTAAAGGTCAGAACATTCCTGGTTTCTCATCCCCAGCAATCCCCTCTACCAAACAAGTCTTAAATGAGACTGAAACAAGTGACTGTAACATCCAATAAGCATCTCTGTAGCAGTCACACCACTTGATTCGGTACTCTGGGGTCTATCTTTAAGATTACAGTGAGGGTAAAAATATACAGTCAAAATTGAGTACTCCTCAAAATTTACTATTTTCAAGTCAAAATTATATGGATTCCTACCATGCTGGCAAGTAACATGCTTCTTTTTTTTCTCGGCACCAGGGATTGAACTCAGGACCTTGTGCTTGCCAGGCAGGCATGGCCCCACTGAGCTACATCCCCGGCCCAAGTAACATATTTGAGTGAATGATATGATTATGATCATCACAGACTGAAAATATGACTATTAGATGGAACCATACACTCTCAAGAGTTTAAATTTCCCCCATACAAGTCGGTATAGAACAGAGTCCTTACACCAAATACTAGCATCATCACTGAATAAACGTCTGTGCTGAGAACTTCTTACACACGTAAGAATGCCTGTACACACTACCTCACTGTGGGTATCAATGCTCAGGCTATACTGCAGACAGACCGGGAGAAAAAAATGTGCAGAGAAATCGCTACAGAGAAAACATAATTAACGTAACATGTTAAGGAGAAAAACAGTAATTGTTCTGACAAACTTAAAGGGAAGGTGAAGGCCAGTAAACACATGTGAATCTAGTAAACACATGTGAGCCATAGTTTACGTGTTCATGAAGGGTACCGCCACCTGTCTGGTATTCACAGTGCCACTGCACACATCTTCCCATATCCTCAGGCATATTTCATCTTCAAGTGAAAGAAGAAAAGGATTCATAGTCAGTTAGCCTAGCAGACTTCTAACTTTAAAATTCCACTCATCCTCATTTCCTGAATAAGCCTGGAAGGGGGCTGATTTCAACTTCCAAGAGTCATGCACCGGAACTGCTTCATAAACCAAAGGCTGTTCCCAGGGTCTAGGTAAGCACCATGGCCACTTCTGTAGCAGGCAGAGCTGGTGCCTGGCGGGCACATCACATGCCTCTGCCCCCGCCTAAGTCAGCTGCGTTACGTCACCATGTGAGCAGCTGCCGCCTGCCCAGCAAGGGTGAGCAGCTCTTCAAGGGACTGGTCAAATGACACCCAGGAAATCCACGTGGAGAAGTAAAGCTGAGGGATTTACTGGCCTGCAGTGAGTTGGAGAAATTCCTTAAAGTGCACAAGAATGCAATTCTTTTCCCTTTAGGAAAAACTGCGCTATTTGTTCTCTTTATCTGTACGGTAAGCTTTCCCTCTTTCAGGTCACCATAAAAAGGCGATGCATAAAAAGAATAAAGATGTGTACATGCACCAACTCCCCACAATGAATGTGATTATTATGTACTACAAACATGTGCTAATAAAAAGGAAAAGGAAAAAACAACAACTGGATCCATCCACGGAGAACGAGCGCGACCTCTGAGAAAGGCTAAGCACTGGCAGCGCGAGGCTGGCCAGACTGACACCACCCTCACTCGCCTCTGGGCTTCACATCCACCTCAAAAGCCCCCAGCCCTCCTTGCCTCAAAGCTACACAGCTGACCCTCCGAGAGCCTGCGTGGAGATGAGGGGGCACCCACACAGGAGCAAGAGATTCCCCCAAAATAGATTCCCCAAGGCTGAGTGAGCCACAGCAGGGGAATGAACCCTCGTCCCAGGCCTCCCCAAACAGCCAGCACCTAGGGACGGGGACGAGGAAGGCCTGTGAAACGCTCGCAAAGCCCCCAGGACCTGGCAGGAAGCACAAAGCCATTAGGGCACCATGCTCTGCCCCGGGACTTCTGTGGAGCGACAGTTTACATAGCATAACGTCTTACCCATGAAGTGTGGCCAGTGATCGCTGTGCATCCCGAGCTGGACGTCCATCACTGCCATCCAGTCTGCAGCCACTCCCGGGCCTGCCTGGCCAGCGGCAGTCACCGGCCTCCCGCGGCCAGGACAGAAGCACACATGGGAGGCTCTGGCCAGCTGCCTGCCCCACTCTGGTGTTCTCAAGACTCATCAGTTTTCCACTGAACGATATCTCAATGTGTGCATACACTCAACTTGCAGCAGGTGACAATAGCCCTGGATTTCTCATTTCAGAAAACTTCAAACTTAAAACAAAAGTTCAAAGAATCATAAAATATATACTCTGCCCCTAATTTAGAGCTCTAGCTCTAAATTTTTTCTGATAAAAATACAAAATACTTTTGGCTGCCCTACTTGAAAATAAGTTGTCACATCTTATTTTACCATCAAGATTTCATCAACCGACTCCTAACCCTAGATATTCCTTTACACTCACAGGCCATCACCAGACCCGAGGAATACCACATCCACACAGCGTCATCCAATCGAGCGCCCAAAGAAAACAGCTTTTTAAAAAAAAAACTGCAGCCAATCCCACAGCACACATGGCCCCTGGCCTTCAAGTCTCTGCTTCCTTCCAGCAAGGATGGACAATGACACTCTGAGTAAAGAACCCAGGCCAGTTATCCCGTGGGGGGCCGCATTTCCCTTCAACTCCACATTTAATTATGGGTCAAAAGCATGCAAGTTCTTTCAGATCCATCCAAAATAAAGATAACCACTGCAGGGTCACTCATTCACTCTTTTAGAAATACCAATTGAGCCAGAGACGAGACATAGCTTAGCGGATGAGCCTGTGCCTGGTGTACACAAGGTCCTGGGTTAAATCCCCAGCACCTGCAGGTTGGGGACGTTAATTACAAATCTGTTACGTTCTGGAAAGCACTAGCTTCAGTCAAGACTGGCTGGATCCAAACCCGCTCTCCTGCACCCTTGTGAGCAGCCCCTTCCTTGTGACAGGGCACCATCACAGCAGGAACCCTGTGAACCACTGTGAGGCTGACACGAAACCGTGTGAGAGATGCAAAGGGGCCCTCCGTGACCACTCAGATCGTGTGGCAACTGCATGGTGTGGTCTGCCCCTCAGAACACACAGAAGGAATGTGCTCTCAGCCCTGCACTGTAGCTGGGCCTGCAGCTGAGGGCAGCGAGGCCAAGGCTATTAGCCTGGGCCCAGAGGTCCAACGTGGGGAGCCATTACGACACAGATGTGTGCAGCCCATCAAGGAGCACTGCTGAAAGGTTAAGAAACCAGACCTGGAAATAAAAGCCTTCTTTAATCAGTCACTACCTACAGAACAGGAAAATGGCTTTTCTGTGCCTCCATTTACCCACCTGCAGGACAGACTTAAGACTCATGTCTGGCTCAAATCGCATGCCACTGTACAAAGGAAACAGTGCAGGGCTCAGCACATTACACAGCCACTGTACTACTTACTGCTCGCCTTACTCTCATTGTCAGCCTTATGCTGAGGTGGGAAGCTCAGATCCAAGGGCAAGCTTTCCTGGCTAGTCACAGAATAGCTGTGAAACTTGGGAAAAGCTTTAACCTCTCAAGCCTCAGTTTCCAAATCTGTACAATGAGGTGTCTCGCGGACTGAACAAGCACTCAGTACAGGGTCCGGTGCACAAGAAGCCCTCAGTGAGGAACAGTGCGGAAATGGACTCCACAGGCTCATGTCAAACCCACCGACACCCCCGCATTCAACCTCCACAGCTCCCCGCGCCTCCTCTCTGGTCCAGGCCCCACTCCTGCTCAGTCCAGGCTGACTCCCACGGGATCTGTGCTGTCTCCGCCCCACACAACCCGCACTCCACCACAGGCCCCTCCATCTTTCTCTGAGAAGGGCCAAGTAGCTGGCATTTCAGGTTCCATGAGGCACTTGGTCTCTGTAAGACTGGTCGCACCCACAGCTGGGTGAAAGCGGCCCCAGTGTAGGGGACAGGTGATGGAAGATGAGCCCCACAGCGTCCCAGTCAAGTTTTATTTATGGAGACTGAAATCTGCGTTTCATAAAATTTGCACTTGCCACAAAATACTACAGATTCCAACCACTTACAGATGCAAGAACCACTCTTAGGACGAGAGTCCTCAAAAAACGGGAAGTAGATCTAATTTGGCACCCAGGCCAAATCATTTCCTTTCCCCTGGGACGCTCTGGATGACTCCTTCCGCATCTCTGTCTTGGTGGTTCAGAGCAGCAGCCTGCTGCTACCTTGATTCCTCCACTCCACTCCATGGGGCCATTCCTGCCAACCCAACCCCTCTGAAAGTACAGTTGGTCGCTACTACAATGATGGGGGGTCTCCCTTGTTTTCTGGCCCCAGGGCTCTGCAACCTCCCTATATGGAAACCACGTTTTGTTTTTGTGGTACTGGGGATGGAACCCAGAACCTCACGTTGTCAGGCAAGCAGCCGGACAAAGGGTCTCATCAAGTTGCCCAGGCTTGCCTCTAACTTCCAATCCTCCTTCATCAGCCACCCAAACAGCTCTAACGCATGCTACTTTCGATCTTTTTTATCCTTCAAGCCTCAACTCAGATGGCCCCTCCATACAGAAGTTTCTTTCCTTTCGAGCTAATCCAGGCCATCACTGCGTGCGTGGCCAGGAGACAGACCCCTCAACAGCTCCTGTCACACTTGTCTCTGCTGCCTTTGTCTGCCCGCTCCAGGGCTTAGTCACAACCAGAAGGAAGCGCCCAGAGGCTGGGAGCTCCGCGTCCCTCCCCGCCGCCCCGCGCAGGTCCAGGTCCAGTGGGCGCGGCGCGGCTCACCTGGTCCGCACCGAAGGGCGTGATGTTGGCCTTGACGGTGGCCACGCCGAGGCCCACGAGCGCCAGGCCCGCGAAGGTGGCGGGCGCGCAGCGGCGCGGGGCGTGGTCGGGGCAGACGGCCGTGCCGTTCGGGTAGGGCGCTGAGCAGTTGAGCACGCGCGAGGGGCGCTGGGGCCCGCAGAGCACGGCGCGGGACGCGGGCGCGGCCAGCAGCGGGAAAGCCAGCATGCCGAGCAGGTAGAGCGCCAGGCTGAGTAGGATGGCGCGCGCCCGGCCGAGCCGCGCGTCGGCCAGCCAGCCCCCGAAGGGCGAGCCCAGGTAGGTGAGGCCCATGAAGAGCAGCAGCGCCTGGCTGGCCTGCGCGCCCTCCCAGCCGAACGTCGGCCCGTTCAGGAACAGCACCAGGTTCGACGTGACGCCGTAGAAAGCCGCGCGCTCCAGCAGCTCGGTCAACAGCACTGCGCCGCAGGCCGCCCGCCGCCCGGTGAACGCCCCGGCCGCCGAGGCCGCCTCCCGCCGCGAGCCCAGCAGCGGCGCCCGCTCGCCCGTCGCGCCCTCCATCCCCAGCTCGCCGACCCCGCCGCTGCTCTCCCGGCCCCGCTCCCAGAGGACCCCGCGCCGCGTTCTCGCGAGACCTCCGGGCCCACCGCCCATTGGGCGGGCCCGCCGCCGCTCAGCTGATGGGGAGTTCCGGTCCCGCCCCGCCCCGGAAGGCCGACGAGGTATCTGACTCGTCTCCCGGTTCGACTAGCGCCGCGATGCCAGCGGCGGGTTGGCTTGCCCTCCGCTGAGTGTTCCTTGCACTTCTGACCGTGGCTGCGCCCCCGGCGGGCTCCTTGGGGCCGGCTTGGCCTCCCACCCTCCAGCGCCCTTCCCTCCGCGGGGCCTGGAACAAGGTTTCTCAGCCGCATTACGGGCGGTCACCCCGGGTGGCCCCATCCTGCGGCCCGGCCTGTGCACTGGGGTGCTCAGCAGCTCCCTGGCCTCTGCAGACCCCTAGATGCCTGCTTCAGCCCCGCCAGCGCTGGGCCTGACGACCACGTGCTGTTGGGAACGAGTGACTTACAACAAGCAGGCTGCGCCCTCCCTCAGCCTTCGCAGAGACGTCCAGACCACCCGTGGTCACTCGGCTGGCGTCTGAGGCCCAGCTGTCCTCCCTCGAGCCCTGTGTGACCCGCCAGTCCAAGGTGATTCACCCTACCCTTTCGACCCTTCCTCCATACTGCCTCCTCTGCTGTCGGTTTGTTCTTTTGCCTGTCTGGTTTGTACACGTTCTCCACAGGTCCTGGCTTCGTGGTGGCGGAGTTCTTAGGTGTTTTCTTCCTCACTGTGCTCCTCCACTTAGGACGGTGCCTGACACTTCCTGGAGTGGCAGTGTCTTCCAGCAGTGGCCCCCAGCAAGGCTTCAGAAATTGAGATCCACAGCTCCAGGGGTTCAAATAGTGTAAGACCACTACCCCATCCTTAGCTCCAACCGAGACTGGGACGGAGCCACACCCTGAGGGGGGCTCGGCCCTAGGTCACCAGGATAAGTAGTCCTGCCAATAAGGTTAAAACGGCATGTGCTATCTTTATTTTTTAATGCCTGATGTATAGACTGATGTGGAGCACCATGCTGGCACACAACAGGCAGCACATATCTATTAAATACCTAATGAGAGAATAGCTAAATTCTGGAACTAGACCTTCTCCACCTAGTAATGCTAAGTGTTTATCATGTCAGCCCACGTGTCACTTTCCTAACCCTCCTGCACCACATCAGCTCTGCTTTTTCCTGGGTCGTTCCGTATACATTTTTATGCTCTTCCTTATACAGATTCTTACCCACTTTTCTCACAGCACCCATTATAATTTATGATTGTTTATTTTGTGAAACTGCTTAATGCCTGTCTTTTAGGGCTTTTCTTTTTTTTTTTGGTACCGGTACGAGTACCGGGGATCAAACTCAGGTCCTTGCGCTTTTGCAGCAGGTGGCGAAACCGCTGAGCTAAATCCCCAACCCTAATGTCTGTCTTTTAAAAATGTATTATTAGTACGTGTTTGCAGTAGATATTGGTTACATCCCTTGTGGGGAGCATGTATGTAACACATCTTAATTATTTTCACACCCCCATTCCCTTCCCTCCATCTCATTTGTCTTTAAAGCTGGAAGGGCTGGGATCTTATGTTGTTCTGTTCACTGCAGTACTCCTAGAGTCTAAAAAAGCACCCGCCAATGATAGCTATGTGTGAAATCAACTGAATGATCATTTGTTGAGTTGTAGATGATGGGAAGACACTTTACATTTATATCAGCAGCCTAGCTCACTGACTGAAAAAGCAAACCTGAAAGAGTCCTGTCCAGAGTCACAGGTCTAGTAGGCAGTAGGATCAGACAAGAAAAAGGCTTGTGACTGATTCTTAGTCCTAATGTTCGCTCCATGTGCCCACTGGTAAGGGAGACAGACTCTGTATTTGGTCTAAGACTGGAAAGCCGGAAACACTCAGGCAGAGTCTAGAATGAAATTGACATTATTAAGCTTGGAGTGAAAGCAGGCATTGAGCTCGAGTCCTGTCATCACTTAGTGTCATTGGCCTCCCTAGAGGAAGACAAGACTAAAGTTTTAAGATGAGAAAAGAGCAGTCTGAGAATTGAGTGTATACTGAGGAACTATTTTTGTTTTTTGAGACAGGGTCTCACCATGTAGTTCAGGCTGGCCTCAGACTCACAGTGTAGCCCAGGCCAGCCTCGAACTCCAGATGATCTGCCTGCCTCAGCCTCCCAAGCACTGGGATCACAGGTGTGCACCACTGCACCCAGGTTATACTGAGGAATTTTGAGGAGTATTCAGAGGTCCTTATTTTGATACTTTGAGGATGCAAAACAAATCCAGCATGTAGAAATGATGTGATCACAGCGTTTGTTTAGGGGAAAAGGGAGCCAGGAGGAGGGATGTAACTCAGTGGTAGCGCACTTGCCTGGCATGCATAAGGCCTGGGGTTCAAGTGCACCAAAAAGTGCATGTGGCAGTATGCCATGGGTACGAAACATCTGGAGCAGTCTAGTGTGGGACAGAATGCAGATTAGTGGCTTAGCTGCTGCATCCTGATCTAGGGGCGAGATCAGGGAGTGACTGTGATGAAAATATTCTCAAATTGATTGTGCCGATGGTTGGGAATACCCTAAACCACCGACTTGTACATTTTAGGTGGATGAATTGTATGGCATGTAAGTCATGTCTCAAGCTGTTACCGAAAGAACATGAATTAATCATTTAACACAGAGAAGTTTCACATGTGAGCTTGGACTTCCTGCTGGCCCTGGCCGCACTGGAGCTGCAGTTGTCTGTTCCGCTGGTCCCCACCCCACCTCCCACCTCAGCTTCCCTTGCACCCTGTCTCCTGGCATTCGGGCCTAGTCCTCCTAGGTCACAGTGCTCTGACCAAGGGCTGTAGCAGCATCCTGGGCCAGGTCTGGCAGCCCCTACCCGCCACCTGTCTTGGAGGCTGAAGCCGCTGTTAGAAGCCCCAATGTCTGGCTAGAGCAGTGTTGGGAGAGTCCACAGCCAGGCGAGGAGGAGCTGCCGACCTGCCAACTGGATGCAGCCGCGTGAATAGCCTGCAGGAAAGCTGCCAGCTGAGCCTCGCACCCAGAAGGCAGAACTGGGACGGGGTGGGGTGAATTTTAAACCTCCAAGCTCTGGGAGGGTGTTACATCGAAGCAGGTAATAAAAACCCATCTCCCTGCCCTCCTCTGTCCCCAGTCTGCTGACAGCAGGTAGCAGCCGCTGCCTTCACATGGAAGACACTTCCTGGTACACCCTAATCTTCCCTACTTTTGACCATTTTATCATCATAGAAAAGCCATTCTCCACATCTGCACTGTCCAGTGAATAGCCACTGGCCACGTGTGGCTGAGAGTTAGTTGAAAGTCCTGCCCGTTGTGACAGGTTCGGTGCTCTGTGGCCACCAGTGCCTGGTGGCTGCCGTGTGTGCCAGGACTGTTCAGGTTACGCCAGGCCGGGCCGGTGAGGCTAGGGCGTGACACATACATCCTCTCCTTCCCCAGGCAACCCAGATTCCATGCAGGCGTTGGTGATGGTTGTCCTCCTCACCCTGGGCCTGGGCCTCTGCAGCTGTTCCTGTTGCTCAGGAGGAAGTAACGGCACCTTGACTCCTCCTGGCAGCACAGTACTGGGCCAGGCCTCAGTGGTGGCGGCTTCAGGACCGAGGCTTGGCTCATGCAGGATGAGGGGCGTCCCGAGTGCTGGGGTGCCCAGGGGACATACGCTACGTGGTCAGACAAGGAAAGGACTTGCTCTGGCAGGAGGAGACGTACTCTCCCAAAGTGCGCGTGGCTGGACACTGTGCTGCTGTGGGAGGACCGGCTAGGGTCAAACTACAGAGGTGAGGTGGGCACCACAGTGGAGAGTCGGGAAGTTAAGAAACTGAGAGAGAATGATTCTTACCTTGTTTTACACACGGGCAGAATTTTTGATATTTGCAGCCCAAAAGCATCTATCATGACCACATCCAAAAACTGAAAAAATAAGAGGAGCCAGAGAACATCGCCTAATTTTTGGTCACGCCTGGCCCATTTCATACCTTGAGTTTCTTGCTGGTCCCTGTAAACACTGAGCTTGCAGCCCCAGCAGTGGGCCCCCTGACTGTGTAGCCCAAATCGGATGTAAGTTGACTTCCCACTTTGCTGGCCACTAAAACCTTTTAGTCTTTGCAACTAAAATAATCCCGTGACCTAACTCATCCATAGGGCCTCGGATTCTGAGAGGCGGAGCCTCGGCTCCCAGAGCGCTTTCTTCTTTCTTGGTAGCTCTTCACCTGCAGAAGGCAGTGGTGTGAGCTGGGGGGAAATGCACAGCTCACCTCTTCTCCAGCAGCGCCCCGCCCGGCTGAGCCCCAGCCCCGGCACAGGGCCACGCAAATGCCCTTGGAGGCGGCGAGTGCAAAGCCCTCAGAGGCAGGACATCCCAGGCTGCCGGGCTCTCGACGTTTTCATGGCGTCTCCGCTTCTGTCGCACATCTCCTTGGAGTTGCACCACTTGTCCACAGTGCAGCTTCCTCAAAACTGGTTTGCAGGAAGCCGGCTCGGCCTTCGGCGCCTCGGCCTCGGCCGCCCTTCTGCTTTTCTGGGTCCAGACGGTTCTGGCGCTTCGCTGTGTTGGGGCGCGCGGACTCCGCCTCAGTCGCTGCTCTCACAACAGTTCCATCGGCCCACACGTAGGCAGCGCGAAATGAAGAGGCGAGGCGGCTGACTGCTGCGCGGAAGTGGAAGCAGGGCTGTGTTCTTAGTCCAAACCGAAGCCGCCCGAAGCTGCTGTTACTGTGTGTTAATTCAGCCCTCGGGATGACTTGGGTTTATTTTCATAAAAGATGTGAAACTGTGGTCCCAAAGACGGGCTTTGAATGGAGTTTTCTTTTAAGTAGAAACCTCCACTACTTGGGCATGTTTTCAAAACCCACAAGGCCTCTGCAGCAGTCAGGTGTTCACCTGGGACGGGGGAGGTGAAAGAAGAGGAACTTCTGCTTCCTCCTAGAGCGACCGACCGGCGGCGTAAGATGGTGACAAGTGTGCAGCCCCCGCTGCTCTCACCACCACTTTCTAATGCTTTGTGAGGGGTCTTTTTTTCTAAAAACAAATTTTGCGGTACTGGGGAATTTTGCAAGCCCAGGACCTTTGCACTGAACTTCATCCCCAGCCTTTTTTATTCTTTGTTTTGAGACAGGGTCTTGCTCAGCACCTAGGCTGGGCTCAGACTTGGGATCCTCTCATCCTCCTGCCTCAGCGTCAGGCATGAACGCCATGCCCACCTCTTTATAAGTATGTTAACCTGTATTGTGATCCTAAAATAGACCATCAGCAGCTGTAAATGTGTTCCTTTTTTAGGCGAAGACTTACGGGAAACATCAGTGGAGACGAATACAATGGAGAAGGCCCGAAGCACAGATGGAACACACCTCAGCCTACGACAACAGAGCGGTTTCTAGTCCATGGGGAAAAGGATGAATTGTTCCATAATTCTGTTAGAAAAAGCAACTACATGTGGGGGAAACAGGCTTCATGTTTTGTACTGACATAAATTACAGATGGATAAATACTGAAATGAAGAAACCAACAATATGAAAGCATTCAGGGAAAATTGGCAAATATAAAATCTTCGAGAGGGGAACTTTTTAAAGGCCAACACTTAAGTCAGAAGGTATTTATTGAAAAAGTTGATTTGTCTACATAAAGACTTAAAACTTAGCATGTATAAAATAAATGTTTTGCTTTAAAAAAGTATATAAAAAACAATAATCTGTTCTTTAGACTCTCACGGAAAGGTAGGCAGCTGATACGTGAGACTGCCGTAGGAGTGACCAGGCCCTTCAGAGGAGAGCTGCTGAGCATGCCTCCCTCCTCTGGTGACTGCATCTCCACTTTCATTACTTAATCCATGGTGCCTGGGGTTGAGGTGCAGCTGGCTGCACCCCAGGTCCAGAAGTGGGCAAGTGACCTAAGGCCGTCCAGTCATCAGCATCCCATCTGTTGAGCTACACTGATTGGTTCAGAGGTGGACACGTGACCCAAGTTGATGAGCGCTACAAGCAGGACTTTTCCGGATGAGTGGTTCAGTGACCTGAGCATCACTGTGTAACCAGCAGCATCCCATCCACAGAGCTAGCGACTGCTGCAGGGATGGATATATCCAAGTTGGTGAGAGCTAAAGCCAGGATTGATTCTGGGAATGTTCAGGAGGGAGAGATTCACCTTCCTTTGAGCTTGGTGGGGGTTTTGTTATTCCTGCTGCTGCTGCTGTTGCTGCTGCTGCTGCTGCTGCTGCTGCTACTGATACTGTTGTTTTTGTTTTGAGCTTAGTGTTATAAAGATACAGGCCTGGAGTTGTCAAGGGTCATTTTGTAAAACTCAAAAAGTAAGCAATGCAGAAAAAGGTAGATATACGAGAGAAAGACTGTTTGAAAAAGATAGCTTGTGGCCTGGTGTGGTGGCAAGCGCTTGTAGTCCCAGCACTCAGAAGGCTGAGGCAGGAGGATCGCTTTGAGTTTGAGGCCAGCCTGAGCTACATAGAGAGTTTAAGGCCCACATGAACTATGTAGCAAGACCCTGCCTAAAAACAAAACAAAACAAGGGGCGGGGGATTTAGCTCAGTGGCTCCACACCTGCCCCTCAAGCGAAAGGTCCTGAGTTTTATCCCAGGTACCGAAAAACAAAACTAAGCAGGGGTGCATAGTAAGCCTGCAGAAACAAGCCTCTCCATGGTGACTGTGGAAACACATCTCCCTCTCTTCAGAGAGCCATAGCAAAGACCTATAAGACACAACAAAAAGATAGCTTACAAGAATGGATTCTAACACTTTTTTTTGTACAGGGGATTGAACTGGGGAACTTGCGCTTGTGAGGCAGGTACGGTGCCAGTGAGCTAATCCCCAGCCTGAGTCTTGATTCTAGACATAGCTAAAAGTAGCTTTCTCTGTGACATTTCATCGAGTCCATCAATTCTCTTTTTGGTTAAGCAGATGTGACTGTGACTTGTAATTGAAAAAGTCTTGGCCAATTCATGGAATACTGTACATCCATATGTATACACAAACAGAAAAGAAAATGACTCGGGTGCCTTTCATGAAAAAAATCAAAGTGCACCAGTAAATTTATTTAATTATTTATTTTGGATAAAGGGGCTTGCTCTGTAGCCCAGGCTGGCCTCAGACTCATAGCAATCCTCCTGCCTCAGCCTCCCAAGTGCTGGGATTATAGGCCTGTGCCACCACGCTTAGCTATACCAGTAATTCTAAAATTCAAAAGGGGAACAGGTTTGGTCAGTTGGTGTGAACTGTGTGATGTGCTGGTGATGTTTGGGAAGTGAGTGTGCTCATGGAAGGCCACCAGGAAGGGGGTCACTCCGACCGACGGACAGTTCTGGAGGGCAGTTCATCCTCTGCATCTGAAGCACCTTTGCTCACATCCGTGCAGTTCCACTGTAGGAGCAGGGCAGAGACTGAGCTGCACAGTGTTCATTACGCTGCTGCTGAAAAGAGTGAACCAATTGGAAACGGCAAAGACTACAAGACAGCACTGGTAAAAGATCACAGCGTGCAGACCTGGGGTCCTGGGCGGTTTTTCACCTGCGCTGCAGGTGCTGGGCTGCAGAGGGCAGGTGCTCCCGACAGACTTTATTTGCTCTTGCTGTGTAACAAGTTACCCTGACTTCAGCTGCTTCAGCAGCACCCGTTCAGTCATGCACAGCCCTGCAGGCCGGAGCTCTGCACTCTCCTGGCCACACACACGGGTTAAGCAGCATGTGGCAGCATGCACATCCCGTGGCCTGCCTGTTTCCTTGCTGCTGCTCAGCCCCTGGGCCTGCCAGTTCCTCAGCACACAGCCCAGCAGGGTCGATGGCGGCAGCGGAGAATCCACAGCACGGAGCCCTTGACCTCAGGAAGTGCTCAGTCGGTAGGGCTCACCCTCCATCAGCTTCCTGCCTGAAGGCTGCGTCACTTGGGAACTCAAATCCTGTCTACAAATTCCACTCCCAGCAGCCCTGAGATGGAGTTTGAGGAACCAGAAGGAAGTGTGTCCTTTAGGGGATTGTGCTAGAATTTGCCTGTCATAATTACGGAGTAAAACAGAGCCCACTTCAAAAAATAAAAGGTAGAGGGTTCCATCTTCTGTAACAACAGCAACAAACATAATAAAAATAAAGTCAACACCCAAAGTGCTATATCCTTGTTGTGAAGCCAGAAAACAGTGAGGGTCCTGACTGCGGTCTGGGCTCACGTGTAGAGAGACGGTGAGAGTCACGGGCCTGCGGCACACGGAGGGCTGGTGCAGACTCGTGAACTTGGGTGGGCGCAGCTCTTAGGCCAGGTTAGGACTCGGTGAGCACCCGTAAACACCTGCTTTGTGACTACACACAGGGTGAGTCTGGAGAACTTGAACCATCAAGAGTGGGCATCTCAGGGCAGCGGGCCATCATGTGACTTTTACACTTCTTTTCTGACTTATATTACTTTTTTCAACCTCCCTTGCTTATTTCCTAGAAGTAAATTTAAATAGACTTCCAAGAAAAACAACCTCCCATTGTGTGCTGCCCTGGAGGCACCGGCTACAGCCCTCCACATCAGTGTGTGAATCCTGCAGCCTGGCCTGGCACGCAGGTCAGTGACTGGGCTGGAGGGCCGAGGGCCCTGGCGATGACATCTCTGTGCTGCAAGGTGGCAGCGACCCTGCTGTCAGCAGAAGACCCGATGTCTGCGCAGCTCCAAGGGGAGATCCGCTGCGGTGGATGTCATCCTGCAGCACAGTGCCTCCCGGCAGCCGCTTTATCTTTTAGCTTTGTGTCGCCTTCCAACGCTGTTAATGAGTCAGGAAAGGGGCATAACTGGGGCATGCAAACCGCAGTTCCACACCTTTCTTCTTGTGAAGGTCTGTCTGTGCCTGCCTCTCCTCCTCTCCTCCTGTCTCTCTCTCTCTCTCTCTCACACACACACACACACACACACATGCACGGCACTTGCAGTGTGCATACTTTAGGAAGGAGTGGTGGTATAAAGACTCAAAACTGACATTCACGGTCATGCAGGCTGGCCTCCCTTCTTTTTTTTTGGTACCGGGGATCGAACTCAGGTCCTTGTGCTTGTGCAGCAGGCGGCGAAACCACTGAACTAAATCCCTGACTGGTCTCCCTTCTTGCTGCCACCCAGGGAGAGATGTCCAGCGTCAGTATCATCACGGGGCTGTCCTCGCGGAGCACGCCGCCCGCGGTGCACTCCCTTACCTTCACGCGTTCTATTTTCCTGGTGCCAGGAACGAGAAGAGTAGTCTGAGCAGAGGAAAAGACAGACTCTGCTTTCCATGTGTGGAGCACCTGGAGAGATCGTGTCAGAGGGCTCATGGCTGTTCCTGCTCCGCTCTCCCCTGTAATTATTACTGATTATTCCTGCGCAGTCCACAGCAACATTTGCCTCTGTGCCCTTTTACATTACGGTGTGGGAGAATCATGACGACTTCATCAAAAGGAGCTGAGTGGGGCTGGGAGTGTGGTTCCGTGGCACGGGGCCTGCCCAGCATGTATAAGGACCTGAGTTCAATCCCCAGAACTGCCATGGTGAGCTAATTAACTATAGCATTGTTTATAGTTTTTCTCATTTTACAAATGAATAAACTGCAGCAATGAATGGGTAAAGTAATGAGTCCCAACAGATATGTCCGACTCTCACCTGATAGAACAGATATGTTCCACAAAGACACAGAGTGCCTGTTGGCCCAGTAAAATCTCTTGTAGCCCTGACTCCCATTAAAAGTTAGGAATGTGCTGGGTGTGGTGGCTCAGGCCTGTAATCCTAGTGCCCAGGAGGCCGAGGCAGGATGGAAAGTCAGCAGCCGGCCTGGGCTACATAGCGAGACCCTGTCTCAAAAAACCAAAAGCAAACAAGAAAAGGTTTGGGAAAAGAAAAAAGGTCTGCACAAGTCAGGGACAGGACATGGGTTAGGGACAGCAGTCTCAGACAAGGTGATCAGGGTCTCATCAATGTAGGCACCTCTTGGGGTCACTGTTGTGAGCTAAATGGTGGCCTCAAAGCTATGTCCATTTCTAAGGCCCCGCACCCCGAGCGTGTCACAGCCCTGGCCCATTGGAGCTGCCATAGGAAGGTGCAGAGGCCGGGAAACCTGTAAACACGACAGTCTCCAAGTTCTGGGGCTGGGGGTGCAGGCATGGCAGGCTCTCTGCTGCCCGGATGGGGCCTCGTGGCCACAGCCTCCAGGAGGACAAGTGCTACGTCCTCGCAGCCAAGAGTGGGGTGCAGGCTCCCTTCAAGCCCTCGCATAGGAGCCTACTCTCCCCCCTCCAGCCGAGCTGGATCGGCCCAGGCCCCGCCTCCAGATGCTGTGGGCTATTGCAGTCAAACCGTCAAGGTAGACTCAGGAGGAAACAGACGGCCAAATCCTGGCCGCGACATTGTGTGGAAAAGGGTTGTTTTTGTTTTGCTGTAACTAAGACAGGGATCTGCAGATGAGAGAAGAAACTGGCAGAGGGCAGTGGACAGAGTGGAGGAGGTGTCATGGGACCACAAAGGGGTCACTGCAGCGATGCGGCCACAAGCCAAGGAGTGCAACAGCCCCGGCAGCTGGAGGCCAGGAGCAGGGCTGCAGCCCATAGGAGCATCTGCACTTGGTAGCCAGCCAGCAACCCGGAAGCCTCCAGTTGGGACGAGCTGGCCGGCTCACCCAGAGAAGAACACCCTTGTGAACAGGTGTGGTTCACACCTGTGATCCCAGCACTAAGGAGGCTGAGGCAGGAAGATCACTGTGAATTCAGTCAGCCTGAGCTACACAGTGAGTCTGTCTCAAAGCATAGTTCCTGTGGCTCTGTCTCTGAGACACAGACGAGCAGCACAGGTATTTGGGGAAGCAGTGGGCCGCTGGGCAGGGCTCTCCCATACACAGCACTATGGGAGCCTTTGAGGGCACGCTGCTGTCACCCTGAGACCAGGCTTCCTTCTGCACCCCACATGTACTTGTGTGGAAAGGAAGAAGCAGACTCAGGCAATTTTAACCTGAAGGGTTAAAAACCAGAGCAGCTACGTTTTCCCCAGCTCCTTCCTTTGCTGAATGTGCAGCTCTGTCTGCCTCCCATGTTCCTCTCTCCCTTTCATCTTTACTTCTTGTCTTCTTGAATGTTCTTACCGCACAAGAGGATCAATGGATTTTCTTCCATTAACCTATTAATTTAGATGACTAAGGTAGTGAAGACTGACTCCAGCCCCAGCCTCCCCTTTTCTTTATCCGCCATGGTTTTGCGCAGATACAGTGTATCCAACTCACACACTGTGATGGCCAGGTCCTGTCCTCCAAGAAGTGGTCCTGTAGCCAATGAGAAAAAGCCAGTAGGGCCGTGTGAGCTTCCAGGAAGAGCCCCTTGCGTGAAATACACTTTTATCTAAGCACTGGGGATAGAGCCCAAGGTCTTCACAGTGAGCTGCACCCCAGCCCTTTAGTTTTTCAGTGACAGACAGGCTCTTGCTAGGTCACCAAGTTGCCCAGGCTGGGCTTGAACTCACAGTCTTCCTGCCACAGCCTGCCTTGTGCTGGGACTAGACGCGTGCCCCACCACGCCCAGCTGAACGCACCATTAGGGAAGCTCCATCTCCCCTCCATCCCTCCTCCCTGGAATGGGAGTGGGTTGGGTAGGGCTGCAGCAATCAGACTACCTGGAGGAGATCCTGAGAGCCAGACACCAGGCTGCCGGGGTGCCCAGTGACTGTGCAGCCTTGGGTTACTTATTTCTGAACTATTTTACACAACAGAAATAAATGCCAATTTCTTCTAAAAGTAGAATACTGGTGGAGGCGATAAAGGTGTTGAAAAGAGCCTTCCACCACCCTGGCTAATTGGAGAGCTCATGTCTAAAGGGCACAGGAACTTCTTGGCCTGTTCAGCTGGGGAAATGGAATCTTAAGAGGGTCAGACCCAGCCGGGCGAGGCGGCACAAGCCTGGAGCCTCAGCACTCCAGGAGGCTGAGGCAGGAGGGTCCTGAGTTGGAGCCCAGCCTGGCTGCTTATCAACCTAGCCAG